TACCAGGAATCAAACTCAGGACCTTGTGTTTGCCAGGCAGGCACTTGTGCCACTGAGCTATATCCCCACCCCAGCATAATCGATTGAAACTGACAGCAACAAAAGAAATGGTAGCTTCCACCATAAATCATCAGCTATAACAAGGCTAGACAGGTCTTCCCCGTCAATAAATTTAGGGTACTTTTATGATACTTGACCTCCCAAGGAGAAGGAATCATTTTCTTTTCACCTTTGTATTCTCTTTAGCATTTTGCACAGGTCTTTGTACATAAGTCATTGATAAATATTTGCTGAATAAAATTGATAATGCTCAGCAGCCCTGCCCCTACTCCTACTCCACACATGCACATACACACGTGTATGCGCACCTCCCACACACGCACACAGAAACTCTGGTGTTTAGGCTTATTATCTAGGGAAACTTCCCCATACATATTTTGTGAGAGCTTAGTTAGTGCAAGAAAATGACCCATCCAGCCCATTTCCCCCTGGGATAGATCATTGTGTCTCTTTGGAACTGAGTAGGATTCGGATGGCTACACTGAAAGGAGCAGGAGACACCCATTCCCGATACCATTTACTTGGGGGCTTAGGGATGGAAAGAAGTTGGGTAATTCCCAGGAATGAGGGAAATAGGTGGACCATGGACATATGGAAGGTCATACGTACCCCAGCCCCTGGCCTGACCCAATGTTAGGGTTCCTGATTACCACAAAACCTATATCCACAAAAGACTGAGTAGAGCACAGAGTGAAGGTCAAGTGTAGGCACAGCACTCCCAAGGATAATGTACCCTGGAACCAGCCAGAAGGGACGGGGTTCCCACTGAAGACACAGCAGTGCCACATCCTTAGACAGTTGTGGGCGGACAATCACGGTAAAGAAGCAGAAGAACTCAAGAGAACTGGTCCTGCAAGGTCCTTCCCAGCGATACCCTGTGGTAAGAGGGGCACAGGCCTCGGGCAAAATGTGATAAACCAGGTGTGATTGTGCACACCTGTACTTCCAGCAGTCAGAAGGCTGAGGCAGGAGGATGCTGCGAGTTTGAGGCCAGCCTGGGCTATGTAGTGAGCTCAAGGCAGTCTGAACTGCACAGTAAGACCCTGTCTCAAAAAAAAAAAAAAAAAAAAACCCTAAATCAATAAATGTTTAAAAATGGTAGTGTGGCAATGCTTGGAACATGCCTCTGTCTTCGGTTGTTTTCCTAACCATCTGAAAAAGTACCTTCTTTTCCTTACCACAAACATAACTGGAGATGGAAAGTTTCTAGATACTGAAGATAGACACGAGTAGGAATGGCTTCCTTTCTATCTTTTCTTCCCTTTTCTCCCCCTGAAATACACACTTAACCTCAGGTGGTCACTATGCGGTCCAGTATAAGCGGCCTGGTTTACCTTTACATTTATGAATGCATAGTTTTTGATTTCCCACCATCATGCTTCCCTCTCTGGTTTCCTGTCTCTCCCCAGGAAAAGAAAACTTTGCCTATAAGCTTTTAGACTCATCAAGAAAATAACATAACCACAGACTGAAAGATCTTCTGGTTCTTTGGGGTCTACCTCAGGGATGAAAGTATTTGTTCTCCACTCTTTCCTAAGGGGCATGAAAGGTGAGACTCTTTGGCCAAGTCAGCATGCCCCCCAGAGGCAGCCTACCGCTCGGGAGCCGGAAACGCTGGGCCAGAAGCTCCGCTGCCTGCCCCGCTTCCCTGCACTCTCCTCCTCGCCTGCTCGCACTCACACACTTGCTTCTGTCCCTCAACATTCCTAGAACTTTCGCTCTCCTCTGAGGTCAGCAACATATTTAAAGCGTTTGTTTTCATCCTGTTCCCATCAGTGAGATTTAGTTTAACGGAAGACATGCCTAAGGGAAATTCCACTCACTTTTTTTCTGGGAAATGAGCTGCTTTACTTTCCAAACCCAAATCCTGAACCCAACATTTCTGGTTACAGTTAAAAGGTCTGTGATTTTATTGAAACAAAGCCACACGCATCTTAGGGCAACCTCACATGTTGTTCACATTACCACGTGAGGTTCTCCTAACTTTTTAATAAAGTCTTGACAAGCTGAAGATTCGTGTTTTAAAACTGCAAATCCTCTAAAGCAGAGTAAAGGAAGAAAGCATGGAGTCACAGACTCATAAACCTCTGTCTCAGTGAACTTGAGCAGCTCAACAGTGTCCCCTGGTGGCCGTGAGCAAAGACACAGAGAGCTTCAGCGAGTGAGGCCAGATTTAGTCTCCAAAACAAGGTAGAAATAAGCATCTCATCAAGATGAAACGCTTTACCCCCTACTCAAAAAAGTGTGAAATGTTCACTGAAGTTAGAAATTCAGCCCACACAAATATGGCAAGGTCCAAGAGTAGGAGACTGAATAGCTATTGTTTTAATACGTTGTCACAGGAAGGAACGACCAAATAGAATACTACTTCTCTCTCCTACCCAAAAGGTGATGAATCCTTTTGTGTGTGTAAAATCTTTATTAGCTAGTCAGATACCTCCTCAACACCAATACTAACCCCACAATAATCCTTCAGCCACTACAGACAGACAGATAGAGCAATACAGATATAATGTTCGCTTCCCTGTGTGTCAATACAATTCTTACAGGTAGGAAATTTAATACAGGAACACAGACAAGTATCTCTACAGTTAAAGCACTCCTGTTTTAGCAGGGGAGGAAGACTATAAACAATTAATCAAATGTTGCAGAAAACAAGATCTAAGAAGAAACTCAAGGGTTGGGGTCGTAGCTCAGTGTTGGAGCACTTGTCCGGCATGAACAAGCCCTGGGTTGGATCCCCAGCACAGAAGAAAAAGAAGCGGGGGACAAGGGAAGGGGAGAGAAGGGGAGGGGACACAGTAGGAGAGGAGGAAAAGGAAGGAATTCAAGCAGGCAAGTGGATCAGAGTGATAGAGGGAATCTAAGCAGGGTATTTAGGGAAGGATGCTCACGGGAGGCCTCCCTAAGAGTATGAATGAATCTCCCAAATTTCACGTGCTGGAAACTTAATCCCAAAGACATACGTTAATGATACAAGTATCTGAGTACTCAGACTTGAGAGGTGGGTACTTAGGGAGGTGACCGGGTCATGGTCCTGAGGGCTCGACCCTCTTGAGTGGACTGATCCATCTGTGGATTAATGGATTAGTAAATTATCAAGGGAGTGGCCTTGAATAAAAGCAGGCTCTCAGTACACTTGCTGTGCCTGCCACGTGATGCCATCCATCACGTCATAACCAAGCAGAAATGCTTCCCACAGATCTGAGCAGGTGCCAGCACCATGCTCTTGGATATCCAAAACCACAGGCTAAATAAAATTCTATTCCTTACTAATTACCCAACTTTCCATGTTCAGGTTTAGCAATAGAAAATGGACTGAGACAAAGCGGTGCCATTTGAGTAGATCCGTGGATGATTATGCAGAAGTCACGCAGAAAGAGTGTTCCAGAAAGAATGAAGAGGAAACAGGAAGGCCTGGGTGCAGGGAGAAGGTTGGGCCAGTTAAGGACTAGCAAGGAGGCCAAGGAGACACGGTGCCTAAAGAGAAAGGAGAGCAGGGGGAGATGAAATCAGTAAGGCAAGCAGGGGCCAGATGACATGTTCTGTTTCCAAGGAATCTGGATTCTACTCCAGCTTCAAAGGAAGCTCACAGGAGAGCTCTAGCTGGTGTTAATGCACTCGCATACTCATTTTAAAAAGAGCCTTCTGGCCACTGAGCAGTCTCCTTACAGTTACGGTGAAGACCAAGACTGAGGTCTAGGAGGGGACAGTGACAGGGGTGAAAGCAGGAAACAGAAAGCGACTGCGGGAGCCCAAAAAAGCAGCTGCTGCTTCACTCAGGTTGGTAGTGGCAAAGGCACAGATGGATAAGGGGCTGAATTTGGGATACATTTTAGACAGTGAACCAACAGGGCTTGTTCATGGATTAGAAATGTGGGAGTAGGACAAAATCAATTAGGGTTGCTTTTTTGGCTTGAGCAATGCACTGGGTGAATGCCAGTAGCTGAGCGGAGGTTGAATGGAGAGGAAAACACCTCCGCAGCCAAATGAGTTCGGGAGAAACAGAGGTAAGGGTGCCAAGCCTACAGGACAGACATTTCTTTCAAGGAGTTTTAACATAAAGGGAGGTAAAGAGAAGGCAAAGTAGCTGAAGGGCAACATGGGCTCAAAGAAAATGTGTTGGTTCTTTCATTCTTTTCATCAACCAGGGAGTGCTGCAGCACGCTCCACAGGGCCACGAATAATTCTATGCAGGGGGAAGGGACGGTTAGGCCAGAAGGGAGAGGGTCCAGTGCACAAGACCGGGGAATAGCAGCTTGAGAGAGGAGCAGGGGTAGGAGAGGAGGAAAACTATGTGGCACGCAGGTAGGAACGGATATTTAGGTGTGGGAGGTCCTCACTTCTAATGTCTCAGTGATTCAAGGAGGAAGAAGGCCATCCACAGGATAGTCACGGATTTGAACCAATATACAGGATTCACAAATATGAAGAGAAAGGAGAAAATCAGCGGAAAGTGAAATTTACTGGGGGTCTACAGTGCAACTGCCAACTATTTTTTCATGAGTCACTTATTAGGCACTTGCACCAGAATGTCCATTAAATACGTGGCTCAGAAACAGCCACAGAAAATCATTTTTAAGTTTGAAATATTTTAAATGCTTCAAACATCCAGAAGGAATTAAACCAACAGTCATGGATACACTACCCAGATTTAGTCAGTGTTAATCTTTTCTTTCAGATATTTTCTTGAGAAATAAAACATAACAGTCACAATCGCAAGTCCCTTAGCACCTCGCTCCAAATGCACGTTCTCCCTCGGCTATTTCTCCAAGTTCACGGTGTAATGATAGAAAGCAACAGCGCTCCTCTTTACCAGGCCTGTCGGCGTTGCAGTGACTTGACTCATCCAAATGCTGTTCCTTGAGATTTACCTGTTATCTGGGTTGTCAGGGAGATGACCACGGGAAGTTCTGAAGACAAAGACCGGAGGCTAACATTGTAGTTGGTGCCCGGGTGCAGGTCCAAACACATCTCAGGAGACTGGCTGCTAGTCGTAGTGTTAAATATCATTTCCTGGGTATATCCCTTCTGATACCATCTCTGGCCCCAAACACGGAACTGAAACAAGCAAAAGCTCACATGGTGAACTGCTGGCTTGCAGAGATTGCCTTGATACTTTTCCTCTTTGCATGAGTTTTCTCCCCACCCTTCGCCCCCTATAAAGTTTCTTCAAAAAGCACAATGCAATGAGATATAAATAGCAGAGTTGTAATACTATACATATTGTGATAATAATATTAGGAGGCTAATATATTTTCAATAAAATGCCCAAAACACTGAGGTCCCAATACCAGCAACTTGCAACTTCTCGTTTTCATGTATGCAGTGCACTTGCCCAAAGCAGAAACTAGGTGGCAAGCCGGGCATGGTGCCTGTAATCCCAGCACTCTGGAGGCTGAGGCAGGAGGATC